TTAGGTCGAAACAACAATTTATATGCATAATGAAGTGTTTTATTTTGGGGGGGGGGCATACTACATGTTTCGATAGAACATTGGTCTGTCTTCTTCAGGAACATACAATTAGATTACAGTCGATACTCAAACTTTTGTTTTCTACGTAACAATGAATTTGAAATAATTTTCTAGTTGAAAGACTACGTACTTTGCTGTTAATTTTAAGCCAAAACAAACTTAAAAGAGCGCAAGCGAGTGGATACTTTGTCTCACGTGACTTTCTATTTTAAAAGTGTAAGTCTTCAGATGGATAATTTATACAAATTGCGGCTGCTGTCTGGCAATTCTATTGGCATCAAAGATAATGACCGTGTAGAATAGTGTTTCTGAGTAAATTCAACAAAATGCAGACTGACATCTAGAATTTGGTTGATACAAAATATATTGACCATATAGAATATTGTTTCTCACTAAATACAACAAAATGATGGCTGACAACTACAATTTGGTTATGTCATGCATGCCACAAACATATCTGAAGTATTGTACAGTAACTAATGGCATACAGTAATGAAAACTGAAATATACCAGGGAATATCCTGTTCAGAAAGGGTATATTCATAGGTCTTATCCCTAGGATATATATATCTGCTTCAGTAAAAATACTACTGGAAAAACCAAACCAGTTTACTTTTGTTTTTTGGGGTCCCTGTGTTCCAGAGAAGAGATCATTGCATCTTTTGCACACCCCCCCCCCATTTTCGTCCCTGGCTGCTATGTAGAATATGGTTATGTTATATCATCTCTAATGATATTGGAGATACCGACTACGTGTAGTATTTCTGAACAAATTTTACATTTAGGAAATGTTGTGTACACGCACTCAAACAGGCATTGTGTAAAGTGACGGTGGGTGGAAAACAACAAGACGTTATAATCTCCCAGTATGGAAATAATTAACTCATCTTCTGAAACTTTGTACTCAGGTTGCAGCATATAACAGTTTATGTGCAATTTTTCTCCCAGTCGTATCACTGTGTGTTGTTTGCCTTGTATTCGATATACGATAACCAGATGTGTATTCTAATGTTGAAAAATTAGTTGTTTAGAAAGACCCTGGGGAGATGACGACAGCCGAACAATAGAAAACACGGAAAGACTAACAGCTTAATGTCCTATTGTTGACGTTGTCATTGTACTTGTTCTAGGTACGGAGATTTGGACTTCAACGGAGCACGACGGAAGAACGTGACACGAGACTCTACTAGCACTCTCAAGGCCTGGCTGAATGAACACAGGAAGAATCCCTACCCCACCAAGGGAGAGAAAATCATGCTGGCTATCATCACCAAGATGACATTGACACAAGTGTCCACGTGGTTTGCTAATGCCCGTAGACGGCTGAAAAAAGACAACAAGATGACCTGGGAGCCCAGAACTAAAAATGAAACAGATATAGAAGATAATGACAATGATAAAAGCGAGGACGTCAGCGATGAAGAATTAGTGAAAAATATACGTAATCGTAATGATGAAGAAGAAAATAATCGTGAAGATGAGATAGTGGATATAAATGAAAATATTTCTAAGACAGCTGGAAAAGAAGTAGGTGATTCGATTGAGACGTACAACTGTAGTGAAACCGTATGGGAGGAGCTTGCTAACCAGCAATTAAGCTCAGGTAGATATTTTTATCACCATAAGAAAGTTTGATTTATATTGACCACTAGGCTAACGCCATCTACATATATATATATATATTTATTATCTGCACATTTATAGTGTGGAAATGGACGTTGTAAACCATGTTATCGTTCTATGTATCTTCCTTTTAGGGCTTGTCGTTATTTAAGGTTATCGTGCCTGGACTGTAAATCTGAGGGTTTATGGTTCGCGTCACGTGTCAGTAGAAATGTGATCTGCACTTTGGAGCCGTGGGTGAGCTATAAGAGTGACATTCACATCCTACTACTATTTGGTCTGACAAATGTATCCCAAGAGTTCGCTGTGAGTGTTTTTGACTAGCTAGCTGCCTTCCCTCTATTCCATCAGTTCAAAATTAGGATTGGCCATGCACAGATTGCTCTTCAATGAATTTGTGGAAAAAATATAATAAAACAAGCCAACCTCCCGTTTCTAGTTTCATCCTCGCGAGTTACTATATGCATTAGTTTTTGAAAACTCACAAAAATTATCAGTTTGGATTTTTGTCGTAATTTTTTAAAGTTAATTTTAATCTTCCTTTACAACTTCGGCACAATTTTTGGAATACATGTTTTTTACTGCGTGTACTTATGAATAATAAGACTGGACTTGCAAACGCGTAGAGACTGCCCGTAAGAACAATGCTTCTAGAATATGCATTTAAAGAAAGAAAAAAAATAGAATCAAGTTCAAGCTGTGTATTTACATTATGAATACTACCACTGAGATTTGAACGCGTCTGCTTATTGACTGCTACACTAAACGCGTTGCAAAGGAAATGATATATAGAATAAATTCTGGTTTTGTAAATGCAGCTAATCTGTTTTTGTTTTATTCACTGGCCAATTTAGCTAAAAGGCCAGGTTACTAATCCTAGGATTCAGGCATTGCCATCCCTAATTCATAACTGTTGACCAGTAGGAAGACAACCAATCAGTCAACAGCGCCTGTCGCTTATACGGTTATTTATAACCGAATAAAGGAATATACTGTGACACTTAAAACTTCCACACACCTGAAAGTGCAGAGCGTAATTAGCAGTATATCGCGGCTTGAACCAAAGGCCCTCCAATACGCAGGTACTAGGCCAGGTCTGGCCCTATCCATATATGTATCGTTAAGTGCCAACATAACAAAAATTACTTTGCAGTTTTTCTGACATGTGATTTCATACTGTAACATAATACATGAGATGTGATAGTGTTAGAAGTGAACAACTTTCGCATATATTCTTGTAATCCTACCGCAAAAATTATTTTACTTATATTGTAGATAGTTGTACATTCTAAGAGCCAAAGCTAGAAAACAAAACAAAAACATATATCTACGTGGACGAGACAGGGAAATGTTATGTCTTCAGTTTGCATTAACGATTTTCGGAAAACAGTAGGAACAAAAATTATATAATTCACAGTGAAAACAAACAAACAAAAAACGATAAACTGAGCGGTTTTTGTGGACCATTTCTTTTTAAGAAAACGAAAGACCGTTTTCTAAAAGCGCGCGAGTTTTCTTAAATATACTTCATGCAGTGTTGCATTCCGTTTGTGTAGTCAAACGAAAGCCATTCAAGGTTGAGGAGAAACCCGATCACCTTGGTGCAAGATATCAAATAAATATCATTATTCCTTTCTTGAGAACAGGATCCAAGGTATTTCTGTAATTCCAAAGCATATAAACACGATCTATTAGGAGTTTAGCTTCATAACTGAAACTTTATCTTTTAAAAAATATTTCCAGTGTTTTAAGCAGTAAGACTTCAAAGTGACCGATGTTACCGCAAAAATAATTGGGTTAACCAATGATATTCCATATGAACGACATCAGCATTTTAAACACATTTTTCTAAACTATATATGCGTCCAGTTGATCGTGTGTACGTGACTTTATTGGTTCGAAAATTCTTAATAACATATGAGTCATGACAAAAATTTAAACAAAAATATCTCGTTAATATTTAAATTAATCTCATTAATTACTGCTTGCATCCTCTAAGTATTTTACATAGAAAGTGAGTAATTTTAGCCATTTAATATTTTTTGTAAGTTTTCTACACAGCGTGTTCTAACCTAAAATTATTTAATATGATGTATATATCTGTGGGCCTGTCGGTAGTGAACGGAAGTCAGTAACAAGGGTTAACTGATTAATAGAGTATTATGACTTGAAACTATATAAGGACCTGAAGAAACTACTGTGATTTCTGTTGTTTTTATAAGAAAAGTGCCAAATGTTGTTGCTTTGTACTTTCACAAAGTACCAGATGGCTAAAGTTGTAGATCTTTCACAAAACGTAAACTGTGATCTCAAGTGTAATAAACTCAATAACAAGAGTTGTAGGTTTGTGTTATGGTTAATGAGTCAAATGCATTTGTTTTCTTAATTTTTTTATATTATTCGAAGTGCCTTTAACTTGAAAGAAAATCGATTGTTACATTAGTAATACTATTGTCCTAATTTAGTGGTTTCAGATATTGTGATGTTTTAAGACTATAATTGTTGGTATTATTTACTACACATGGTGCTGTGAGGTTTTAATATTTTACATGTTAGTATTATTACACATGGTACATTGAGGTTTTAATGTTTTACACGTTAGTATTATTACATAGGGAACTATGAGGTTTTAATATTTTACACGTTAGTATTATCACACATGGTACATTGAGGTTTTAATGTTTTACATGTTATTATTATTATTACACATGGTACATTGAGGTTTTAATGTTTTACACGTTAGTATTATTACATAGGGAACTATGAGGTTTTAATATTTTTACATGTTATTATTATTATTACACATGATACTTTAAAATTTCAAGATTATGATTATTAGCATTATTACGTATGTCTTAAGAAAAGGGTTAGTATTATTACACACGGGTCTGAAGTTTTAAGATTACAACTGTTGGTATCATTACACTTCGTACTGTGGAATTTAAGATTTTACCCGTTAGTCTTATTATACCTGGTATTTTAAAGTTTTACAAAAATTATAATTATCAACATTATTACAAATGAAGTCGTATAATTGTTAGTATTATGACTAACTGTTAGTATTATTACCGTGAGGTAATAAGATTATAACTGCTTATATTATTACATTTCATACTGTAAAGTTTTAAAAATATAATTGTCTATATTATTACATTTCATACTATAAGGTTTTATGATTATAATTGTTTATATTATTACATTTCATATGTAATGTTTTAAGATTATAATTGTTAGTATTATTACATTTCATACTGTAAAGTTTTAAAAATATAACTGTTTATATTATTACATTTCGTACTGTAAGATTTTAATATTGTAGCTGTTGCATTATTACAAATGGTAATGTGAGGTTTTAGTATTATAGCTGTTAGTTATTATTACAAATGATAATTTAAAGTTTTAATGTTATATTTTGTAATAATATAAACAGCTACTGATGATTAATTGGTACCTAGATGATACCATAGATCATTTTGTTACGACAATGAAGAAATTTACTTAACTTTGAAATATTGTTTCCTATAGAAAATTTCTTACGTCATCGCTCGTTTCAACGTTGTGTACAACATGAAAAAGTCAAAGTTTAAAGCTTGATGTTTCTGATTACAAGATAATGTTGCCTTTTCGCCAAAGAAAGTGAACATTTTTGGATAATTGCATAAAAAAGAATGTGGTATTTGTGCTTGAATAGGTGTAAACATACGGAGGATGAAAACATTACAGAATACTCGAAATCCTCAATACGTATTCACTTACTAATGGTTATAAACTGAACAAGCACATTCATGCTTTGCATAAGAAACGTGTAACTTTCTACCCTAAACTTGATATCCTTGAAAGTCCCTGCATGCTCACTAAACGATAAGCACTGGTAAACCTGTGTTTGTAAAACTGAAAGAACGAAAAAATAACCACCAAACAACATCTGAATGTAGAGTTGCAAGTTTATGTTTAGGTACATTTTATGACATAATTAGAATTGGAATTTTAAACCTGAACAACACTTTTTGTGTAAGTGGGCTTAAACGGCCAGGTCGGAAACCTCTAGGTTTCAGATATAGAACTTCTTTGACTTTGCACTACTAACCAGAGGGAAAGCAACCAGCACCCGCCGCCATAAGGGCTTTGCCCGACATTGAACCAAATAATCATAATCTGTGGAATACACTATGATTGTCAAGAGTGATTTGGTGGTAAAAATAGAAAGAAAAATGGCTATAGTTATTCTTAATCTTTCATTTACAGAACAATTCCAATGAATGCAGCTAGTCATCACCACCCACCGCCAACTCTTGGGCTACTCTTGACCAACGAATAATTGGATTGACATTCACATTATAACGCCCACACAGCTAAAAGAGCAAGCATGTTCGTTGATGGGATTCGAACTCATGACACGAAAATTGCGAGTCGAGCACCCTAACCACCAGGCTTATTTCCTTTATTACGAATAAACTATACTTAAATTCAAAAAAAGATACCATTATTAAAAAAAAAATCCACATCACAAGTTATACATGCAGAAAACACAGAAATGTAGTTGTTTTTCTCTAACATAGCTACAATCCGCATGTCGTAGTTCTGTCATCTCTTGACCGGTTTGAAATCTAAGTACAATTTTGGACTCAGGAGGTCAAACCCTTTCGAATGATGTATTTGACTGCTCCCAAGATCTCATAGATTAACGTACTCTAATCCTGCTTATATGAATTTTAAGTTGATGGTAGGTTAGTAGAGTTCCTGATGAGTAATAGAATCGAATAGGGTATACACGCGCCCCACGCTTGGTATTGCTGGCGCATAAAAATATAGCTAATAAAAAGGGAGGAAAAAAGGTCTCATAGATTAATCAAAACACAAGGTAGTGTGTCTTGCGCCACCCCCCCCCCCAAAAAAAAACAACGTGCAGGACACACTGTGTGTTATTAACAGGAGTGATAATTTAGCAATTTTACACCTTCTGTAGCTCAGACTGTGGTA